CACTGTATATTCCTTTCGTAGTCAGATGTCAGCCCGTACCTGGAGTCTCTACCCTGATACGTTTGCCTTCTATGAAACCAAAAGGGCCCCTGAAGCCTGCAGCCTTGCCTTCCTTCCGAGCCTGGTCGATTTTTGGCCACAACGCTTGTCTGGCTCTCCAGTCCTCTGGGGTCAGGTCTTCAGCAAAGCGGATGCCTTCTTCTTTGCACACGGGAGAAGCCTTTGTTCGCCTCCAGATATCATCTCTCACGGCACGTCTCACAAACAGAATGATGATTTGTCGATGCTTATTCTCCACCGCTCTTCCCACTCTGTGGACAACATCAACTGCTTCTTCCATCTTCATCTTTAGGTCCGGAGCAATCCTTCCTAGAAGTTCCACCACTTCTTCTCTGATATTTTCATTTGTTTTCTCCTTTTTCCCTTTGATACGAAGACACCATCTTCTTTTGTATCTTTCCTGGCTCAATACACGATCCTTAATATCGTCATTATCTTTTTTGATTGATTCCATCTCTTTTTCCAGGTGTTTTATTTTCTTTTTGCATTCTTGCAGCTCCTCTGAATTAAACTGCACTGATTTAGCGATGGAAGCCAGCATGGCGCTATGTTGTTGAATTTGTTTGCTAACTTCGTCCATGCGGTCATCAACACGTTTTCCAAGACTCTCAATAGCTTTCAGTATAGTGTCAGTGGATGTGTTGGAGTCATTATCACTAGCCGTACCTTTTGCTTTTTTCTCCATATGTGGTTTCTCAGGAGTATTATCAGGGGTTGTTAACAGTCTGTCCCTCTTGTTGCTGCTGGAATCAGCCGTTTCCATCGGAGCTGGGTAGTCATGCTTGCTGTTTCTCTGGGTTGTAAAAGGGAGGTTTTTCACTGCCGGAGGTTTCGTGTTGTTGTTTTTCTTCATGTTCGGGCTGAAACGTCGTCAATATAGCTCAAAGGAGTGGATTTTATAACTTCAAGATTAAAACATCGGGACTTCAGTGAGGAGTTCAGACGGATGCGACTGCTTAGTCCGCCATCTTGCCCCCCCCTCCGCCGTCGGTAACTGTCGCAAGGTTGGCAAAGAGAGGAAATGACGTAACATTCACGCATGCGTGGTACCGATCGGATTTCCGGTACGGATCGGGTAGTGACACGTGTTTACGCTGTTTCCATAGCAACACCGGAAGTGGGCATCGGCTTTGTTTTCCACCTTCTTTGCTACTTTGTACGTTATGATAAGTTCGTCAGATCAGGGCTTTGAGACTTTATTTTGTCGCTGAACTGAATTTATTTGAGGAAGAAAGGTTGTTGATTTCAGAACTCATCGTTTGTCTCGTTTGCTTAGTTTAGGACCATCTCAGCTTTAATATTTCATCTAATAATTTAAAGAAGCACCTGTTTTCATTTGGCAGTTCATTCAGAGTTAAACCCTCCCACTTCTGTGTTCCTTGTCTGTCTATTGTTTGCATGCCCCGTGTGTTCATGATTAATAAACTCTTTAAAATTGCCTTCTTGCCCGCATTTTGGATCCTCACCTCCGCTGCACTCACCTGCACACTCCGTGACACCAGCCTCTTTCTATTGAAGTGGGGCGACACCAAGGGTTAGCGGAGGTGCGACGTCAGTGTGTTTTATGTGACTTAGTTCAATTTCATTTCTTGTTTTATAGTCCATCACATAACGATCTAAGAATGTCCCTGTTGAAAAAGATCCAGAGTAAAAATCCTCATTTGTTCTGCAGATGGTGAAATGTTAAGTTGGCTTTTTGACCAAGAAATTTTAACATTAGCAAAATTTATAGAGAGCGTGGAAACAGACAAATGGTACTTTATCCTGCTATGGAAAACAGAGGAGGAGCCAGATATTCCATTCACCCGGGGCTTAGCCCTGACGCTGGCTATTATCCAGTGGCTAATGTGAATGCAATAGGACTCGTCGTCGTCTTCCTCCGCTTATCCGGGTCCAGGTCGTGGGGGCAGCATCCCAACTAGGGAGCTCCAGACCGTCCTCTCCCTGTTCACCTCCACCAGCTCCTCCGGCAGGACTTCAAGGCGTTCCCGGACCAAATTGGAGATGCAACCTCTCCACCGTGTCCTGGGTCGACCCGGGGGCCTCCTGCCGGCAGGACATGCCCGAAACACCTCCCCAGGGAGGCGTCCAGGAGGCATCCTGACCAGATGCCCAAACCACCTCAACTGACTCCTTTCGATGTGGAGGAGCAGCGGTTCTACTCCGAGTCCCTCCCGAATGTCCGAGCTCCTCACCCTATCTCTAAGGCTGAGCCCGGCCACCCTACGGAGGAAACTTATTTCGGCCGCTTGTATCCGCGGTCTCGTTCTTTCGGTCATTACCCAAAGCTCATGACCATAGGTGAGGATTGGGACGTAGATCGACCGGTAAATCGAGAGCCTGGCTTTCTGGCTCAGCTCCCTCTTCACCACGACAGATCAGCTCAGCGTCCGCATCACTGCAGACGCCGAACCAATCCGCCTGTCGATCTCCCGATCCCTCCTACCCTCACTCGTGAACAAGACCCCGAGATACTTAAACTCCTCCACTTGAGGTAGGACCTCTCTCCCGACCCGGAGTTGGCAAGCCACCCTTTTCCGGTCGAGGACCATGGCCTCAGATTTGGAGGTGCTGATCCGTAATAGGACTGTTAAGGCAAACCATCATGAATGAAAAGAAAACATCAAACACCAGGACTGAAATGGTATTGGTTCAAAAGCAGGACTTCAGAACTGGAACTGATGGAAAACAAGATGGCCATGCATCACAAAAGACACAGGGCTTCTGCAAAAACAGCTTGGGCTTAAGCCCCATAAGTGCCTCCCTTACTCCACCCCTGATGTAAAATAAAGGTTGTGTAAATGTACGGCCACTTCTTTATGTTTAAAAGTGTCTTATGAGCCTGTCTGGTCTGGGCACGTGTTGTGCATGACACTTAAATAAACATATTCATTCATGTAGAACGTTAGGAGGCATGAAAACCATTTTTAGGCTAATTGGTCATTGCAGCTTTAACACTAGAACTCTGTCGTTTTGACTGTTTTCATATTTGGATGTAATAACTTTAGTCAGATGGATCTCCGGGCTTTTCCTATTTCTGTTTGTTCTTTATTTGGGTTAGAATTTCCATAAAATAATGTGTCCAAAAACACGGTTGTTTTTGTCTTTGTTTCCCACAAGCCGTCAGACGAAAATGATCCATGTCGGTCGCCCAGCAAACAACGGAGACTTCTTTTCAAGGTTTGCATTAAAAGGATATTTCCATACCTCATTATTAGGTTCACACATCCATAAAGAGTTAATTAATAATACACTTGAACCGTTTTGTTCCTGTCATCACCAGCCTGCATTTAATGGCCAAAATGGCTGCCGTCAAACTGACGGTTACTGGAAATTCTAGTGAAGTTGGAATTCTGGAAGTTCTGGTGTCAACGCTATTTCTCTAAACAGAGGCTGTTCAGGAAGCTGTCTACAAAAGGTAAAATTGCATCATCTTAAACCCCGAAACCCTTAAAAATGAACAAATATGCCTTCAAGGGAGTGATTCTCACGAAGCCGCAGGAGTCTCAGGTGATTCAGGGGCTGAATAAAAACTGAAGGCATCTCCCACGCTGCAGATCCAATAATAAAACAGGTCCTAGTTATTTTTAAAGCTTCAAAAATGAAGCAGCCCAGGGATCATTTACTTCTCTTGATGTCAACTTTTGATGTGATGGTTTTAATTCCCACCTTCAAGTCTTTTAGACCACCTGAAGGCCGAGGCAGGATCCAGGCTCCACCGACTCTCAGCAGGCGGATGATGACAGCATGAAAAGCTCAGTGGGTCAAATGTTCAACACGAGAAAAGGTGTGTCCCAGCTGGGAGAAAACGCTGCATCATGATCATCGGCTCTCCCAATTACAAGCAACATTACCTGAGAGCTCGACGGAGGGCCAAGGAGTTTATGGGTTCTGGCAAAGACTCAGTGTGGACTTTAGACTAACACCAGAGCCAGAAATCAGAAACACACACCTAAAGCCACTCCGTCATCTACAACCCACACCTGTGTGTGTGTGTGAGACCTCTAATCTCAGCTCTTTAACCTCTCCTCCCCAGACTTTTACCCGGTAATCAGGAAGTCACTCAGATCCAATCTGCTGGAGCTTCCTGTTGGATCCAGCAGAGATGCTCCTGACAGCTGGAGCGTCCTTCTGGGACAGCTTCCAATCAAATGTCACTGCTACTCATGGAAGATATGCATTAATAAAAACATAACAGGAGACATTTAAATGGTCATGACAGGGTCATTTTAAACTATCTGATGCCATCTGCTGGCCAGGGCAAGTGTTAATGATACTACAGCCAGCAGGTTTGTCTTATCATGATCTCTTCTTTCTAGAGAATGACGCAGGAAAAGTCTGCTCAGGAACACTTTTGCTCCCAAAGAAACAGACTGATTTTCCATGACCCCCTCGGGAAATCAAAGTCTGAGTAATTCCACTTCAGAACAAACTGAATAATTACTTAAAAAGACCAGAATCAAAAATGGAGGAAAAAGTTTAAGAATTAGTTAAAAATGACAATAATGAAGAAGTGAACATGGGAGCCCAAAAATACAGGTGCTACAGAAACTGCAGCATGTGAGGAAGAGGAGGGTTGCAGAGCGGGTCTTCATGTGTTCATCTGAGATGCTTTAATAACATGAATAATGATTTTTAAATGATCACACGAGGCAGGACTGAGAGTGAAAACTTTATTTTTCATGTTGCAACAAGGAGTGGGTGGGTGGGTCAAAACCTCTGGAGAAGTCAGAGCAGCTTTGGAGAGGGTTGGAGGTTAAAACAGCATCAGCTGATCTCACATAAAAGCAACATTTTATTTTCAGAAAACACAAACGTTTCCCGGCTGTTGCCGACATCAGATACACGCAAACACGCAGCTTAACTGAAGCCTAAAGTTTGTATTTTATTCTGATTTAAATCAGCCTGAGCATTCTCAGACATGGTGTCTGTTTGTTGCAACCAGCAGGTACAAAAACTAACTTGTTTTTATTTGACTATTTTTCTGTCCTGTCTGTTTATTATCTTCCTGCATCTCCTCTCAATCCTAAAAAAAACTGCTACCTGGGTTCATATATATTCACCTCATGAGTTACCTTTGAACTGCAGTTCTAAAAGATCTACCGACCGCAAAAACAGCGGAGCGCTTGCTGTTTGGCGGCTGTATCAGTGATCAGTGCGTCGGAGGACAAGGTGATGCGCGCAGCGCCCCGCTCCACAGCATGCAGCGAAACGCATCAGCCGCAAATAAAAGACAGAAAACATTAAAGGAAATGAACTGACATGAACGATCGCGTGTTAAATTAGTTTTTGAGGTGGCGACACCTGATTGTTACTGTGGCCGTGCTCAGGAGGCAGATCTACCGACCGCGAAAACAGCTGAGCGCTCCCTGCTGTGATCTGTGCGTCGGAGGACAAGGTGAAGCGCCCCGCTCCACAGCAGCGATACACATCAGGCGCAAATAAAAGACAGAAAACATTAAAGGAAATGAACCGACATGAACGATCGCGTGTCAGTACCTACGGTCTGGCACTTGAGTTTTACCCCCAAAAAGAGAATGTGATCATACGATAATTCAATAGGGAGCGTGGTTTCACAGACGCGGAAGTGATAGTGTCGGTGAAACGCCGGCTGATCTAGGAAACCCCCAAGCGTTCGAGCGTCAACGAAGTGACACGGAAATGCCGGGCTTTCCAGAAGTAAGTAAGATAACTTACTATGAGCTGATAGTTCGTTGGATTGATCGGTACGTTGGAAACTCTGATCGTGAATCTGAAGAAACGATGACTGAGTGGTGAGCTGGAAAGGCGACTTCCGTTTATACGTTTTTTACAATTTAATTTTAATGTAACGTGTGGTTGTGATAATATTTAACATACAAAACAAAAATAATGAGGAAATTATCATGTAGATAATAAAATCTTAAACCAAAACAGGAAATTGATGTTAACCTTTGACCTCATTTTCCACCTGCGAACGAGTGAAAGGTAGAGCTAGTGGTAAAATGGATCGGTTTTTGTTGCCCACATTTCCACGGGTTCAGTCAGAAACAAATGAATCTTTGGAAGTGATCTCAGACCCACAAAAACATACGGATCTGGATGAAGAGAGTCAACCCTCAACCGCCGCAGTAGTCGAGGGTTTTGCCGCTGGAAATGCTAACACTAACGTTAGCTTACCTTGCAACACTATAGATGGTTTTCTGTGTGGCTGTATGTGTTTATGATTTCATGGACAAGTCAGCGATTGTTCATATGTTTATGATGTATATTAATGATTGTTTCAGGTGTTGTTGAGGTTTTGTGCACGCATGTGTATCTGCTAGTGTTGAAGGTGTTTTAGAGAACAATAGGTACGCATGACCACTTCCTTCATAGCACCCTCAATAAAAAAACTAGCTCCTTCATAGCACCTGCAGAAAAAAAATTTCTGGAGCCGCCACTGCTCTAGCCTATTAAAGAAACAAAGTTCATCCTTCTAGATATGCATTTGGGGGCTGTGCAAAATCACAGAAGGCCACAAATAGCCCTACGGACATTCCTGATTTGGAGCCACTATATTAAAATGCACATGCCTAAAATGTATCTAAACAAAAGCTGAGCCACTACTATCCAAACGGGGTTAGAACTTGTATAAATGTGCTTTTCATGAACCTCGGGGCATGGGAATGTACAAAATAATATCTCTGGAAGCTTTACTACAGGTCAGTTGATGCATGTCATAAACGGTTCAGTGGGTTTTGCCCTCATTCTATCACCTTTGTTGAGCTGATCATTTTTTCAAAACACCTTCAGACTAGCCTTCAGAAGGACAATATGAACATGTTTACAAAGTTTAATGTGAAAACATTTCAATAAGAATACACACTTTTGTTAACTAACTTGTTTAGGTAGTAATTTAGAACAAATAGTTGAATTACACGGCCTTAGTTTGTCTCATTTTGTCCAGATGCTCTCACCCTAACACTCAACAAAGCGTTTGTGTTGATCCAGGGCATGGCCCGTCCACTTAAACCCTCAAGAACTCAGTTAAGCAACAAAGATTAATACTAAAGTGTTCAGAGAATCTTCAGCAAAGCTGAAACCTTCCTTTGTATTTTGATTTGTCATTAATGTGGGAGTTACTGCCACCTAGTGGTGTGGTGCTCATGAGCCTATCCAGATGTGTGAAAACCTGCTCTCTGCATCGTGTCCAGACGTCAGAAGCGAACAGCGTCTCACTCTGTTCAGGCGGTGGAGGACCTGAAGGCTCGTGGACGTCTTGGTCGTCCCATCCTCTGCTCTCTTCACCCCGGCCAGGAGCTCAGGCTCTTCTGTCAGCTCTGCGACCTACCCGTATGTCTGGACTGCGCTTCCACGCTGCACAGAGACCACCACTGCTGTCCTACGCACGACGTCATCGACCATCACGGTGACCGTATTCGAGATCTGGTCAGCACGCGTCTACGACCCCGACTGGAGCAGATGGAGGAAGTTCTACAGAAGGTTCAGAGAGGCCGTCTCTAAGCCCATTCTTTTGTTATCTAAAACACACTTGGTGGTGCGGCTTGTTAAGCTTTGTTTTTTATTTTGTTTAATTTTTCCTGATATCCTGCTACAGGTGGAAACTTCCCAGGAGAATTTGAAGGTACGGGTCGAGGCAACAGCCAGTGAGATCAGAGCCTTTGCTCGAGGCTACGCCAGCGCTGTGGAGGCCCATTGTCTGTCTCTGCTGCGGCGCCTAGAGGAGCTTCAGGTCCAGCGCAGGTACGACGGGGTTTCCGCGCAGTAGTAGCAACCAGGGCTGCTCGATTATGGCAGACATGATCATCACGATTATTTAACTGAAACTGAGATCTTGATTATTTAAGATGATTTTTAAATTAATGTTGATTTTATGTTTATATGTTTGTATTTGCTCATATGATTGCACAATCAGAGAGAAAAAAACATGAAAAATAGAAAGAAACAAGGTAATCGCAAAAACAACTGATTCCTAGTACAAAGGAGCCGATACACTTGCTCATGACTGAAGGAGTTTAACCCTCCACCCCGTCTCACGGCGCGTGCCGCGCACGCACATTTTCTCAGCGGCTTGGGAGCTAGGCCTTAGAGCCGTTTCATTTTGTAAACGAAACACTTCACTACAGCATTCCCTTCCGAATGTCCAGAAGGACGCTCTGACCTGCAGGAATTATAAGCGACAGTAGAAAGTAGCTAAGGGTTACCAGAAGTGTTTTGTAATGATTTAAATTACATGTTATTTAATAAGCCATAAGCCATATGATTCCATAGTAAATATGAAATCCACCTTATGGATCTGACTGTGGGTACTGTTTAACCAGAAGATTGGAACTTTTTATTGCAGGGATTAGATAACAGCTTCGAATTCACTCAGAGACAACAGAAGAGCGAGTCAAGTTTAAAAGTTTAAAGATTTATTACTAAACAAATTAAACTAGACTAACTTTAACACTAAATGTATGGTGTAACTAAGGTGAGTGAGACGGAGAATGGTGTAGTGTGGAATGTTGCTCAGAACCAGCAAATCCGAAGAAACGATTAGTTCTGAGGGGAAATGAAGGTGATGTCTTCGCATTAAGCTTTGGTTAGAAGGTTCATAAACACATTCAACGCCATTTGTCGGTCTACGTACCCGTCTAGATCAGGAGGTGTAGAGGTCCAGCTTGACCTTGTGGAGCCGGAGCATGTAGAAGAGCCACGGCAGCCGACCACCAGTCTTGAGATACTCCCAGGTCACGACAGTTTGTTGGCATCTAGCGAGACCCAAACCTGGGTCGTGATGGTTCAGCTTTTATTGTGAAATGAACCGTTGCAGCAGTTGGAACAGCAACAGATTTTATCCAGCTTGTCGTTGGTTCTTTTGGCTGAAGAGGAAAGTTACGGATTGGCCACTCCGACAACTTCTCTAGAACGCTTTGAACTGGCGTTGGAGATGGCGCGGCCAAAATTGGAGACCCGGCCTTTAATTGAATGCCTGCCTGTATTAGAGGATTTACGATATATATTTGGAGAACACTGTTGCTACACTTACTGCTTGTTTTACTGACGAGAGAGGTGAATGTTCAGCTGCATCCGTGGCGAGTGGCGTGTCAGATGGTTCGCTGAACGTGACAGAAGCGGCAGCTGCAGGAGCTGATTGTCGGCTCAGGAGAGTGTCCAGCGTCTCTCGTCTCTCCGAGGGTGTTTAGGCCCCTTGTGTGGGAAAATGGCCAGTAAAGCATTTAGTTTCTGCCCTCTCTTATACCCAGCCGCTCCGGTGAGCTCTTAAAGTATTTGTGGTTGACTATAAGCCTCAAACGCATCAGGAGAAAAATGTTGGGAACACAGCCTTCTTTTAGAATTCTGAAACTTTCTTTGGGAAGTTGTGTCCGTCCACAGGCATCTTCCCACTGCTTTCTCCTCTTCTTGCCAGTGGGAAAGCTGTGTAAAGTCACATCACTCCCCTTGTTGCCCTCTGACTGGAAATTACATCCAAAAGCAGCACAATGCAGCATTTTACTTAATAATTAATACAGTGAGCGCGTAAACAAACACTAGCGTCAATAGCTATTCTTCCAAGTGCAGCCAATATCCGTCATTGCCCCTAGAGTGCATTGCATGCAGAAAGCATGGCGTCCTGCATATGTCAAAAAATGTACTTAATATTTTAGATATATAAATAAACGGCTATATTTTGTGTGTTTCTAACAACATAGTTTGATACAACAGAAAACTTGTGGCTTATTAGGGCATCCACGTCCTCTTAGCCGGAGTTCCTTTTAAGATGGTGACTTCACATTTCTGTTTATAAATGTTCTTCTGTAGCCGACAAACAGCTAAAACATGTTGTTTTACAAGTATTATTCTCATGTCATGTTTTGTTCTCATATATTTATATCTTAGAGACTTACTTGTTCGTGAAAAGTTCATCAACTCTGCATCAGTCGAGGTATTCCTTAAATTTGAAGCATCTAAGCGGTAGTCTAATGATATTGGTTAGTTCTGGTCTGCACTCCGTTTCCTATTGCACAGAGCTCTGTGGGGCAGGGGGCGTGGTTAGCAAAAACAAAAAAAACTTGTCTTAGTTTCTACATTACATCACAGTACATGATGAGATAATCACTTTTACGGATTTCTGACAATCATACATCATTTCTGAAAGGGGAAAAGCTACTTTAAGGCCCTCGAGGCTAATAAATAAGTTTGGTAGTAACATTTTCTCTGCCCTTAATTATATTAATGTTTTTTTGTTTGGTTTTAAGCTCTTTAAACTAAACATCTACGAGTGGGACTTGAGTAAAACATTAATCTAAATGATGCGTTCAATTCCCACCCCTGAACAATCGTATTAACCGCGTTCGTGAAGCTCTTCTAACCAGAACAGAAAGAATGAAGTGATAAAAACATCAAAGCTAAACAGGAAGTGAATGCTTAGGAAACATTTATCCACCCGTCTTCTGCTGCTCAGCTGGAACTGATTGGTGGAAAACGGCCTAATCAGAGATCCCCTTTTTCCCAGTATCCTGCTTATCATTTGATTTTTCCTACTCGGAGGTGGGGATTTCCGAGGACAAATCAAATGCACAGTTTGTCTGGCCATGACCCACACAGCCGTGGGACGGAGTCTACAGTTGTCCTTCAGACTGTCTCTGCTACAGTGCAGAGTGGCTAGACCGGTCTGCAGAGCTAAATCTGTAGCGAGAACCAGAGTTTATGGAACTCCTTCCATTAATCATCCTATCAAATCTGACCCTGAGCAGCTGGTTATTCTTCAGTAACCTGTAACCTTTTAACAGCAGGACCACTGAACCCAAGCCTCATCTGTTTCCCACAGAAACGTCCTCCACCTGCAGAGCGTGCAGCTGCAGCAGGGCCTGCTGGATGTCCGAGGCAGTGTGGCGTTTGCCGAGCGCCTCCTGAGCTGTGGGTCTGACGCCGAGATCCTCAGCGCTAAAGGAGTGACTCTAAGACGACTCGCCAGCCTGGCAGAGAGAGGCTATAACCCTTGTCCAGCGGCGGTCGCCCCAGACGATAGCAGCAGCATTTGCTTCCTGCCCAGAGAGCCAGCCGGAGAGGTGGAGGGCTACCCAGTGGTGGGTGTGATTAACTGGAGGACGCTGGATGTCAGCAGGTGCACCATTGAAGGAGAAGGTAAACAAAGGCAAAGTGGTGTTCTGTCTGTGTTCCTGTAAGATAAAGAGAAGGTGATCTCGGGACTGGGTTTGCACATCCTGTTTTACTGGTCACAGAAACAAGTCAGTGGTCAGACTGAGCTGATAGACCAGTGGGCGTTCCAGAATTCCTCCTGAACCAAAGGAATGCCGGTGTGACTCAACATGCCTTCTGGGAATGTCCTTAGAGGATGCTGTCAGGTCCAGACATGTAGACAGAAAGCTTCAGGACACTTTCTGGAGACAGTCATTTATTTAGAGCAGACTCTTCAGAAGGTCTGGAAACAAAAACGTGTTCTACTCATGTTCTCACCTCAGGAACCCACAGTAGGTTTGCTCGGGTTATATATGGCCCGCGGGCCTTGACTCTGACATATGTGCTGTAAAGGGTTGTTTTAGCACACACTGGCTCAAGAAAGTGACTTGAAAATTTGCAAAGTATTTAAGCTTTAAGGCTTCACGACCTCAGAAATGTAAAAACTTTAACACAAATAATCGTTATTTCAGTTTTGACCCAAATTAATCATCTATCAGCGGTTTAACATCTGAGGCATCTCTGTCCACCGTTTCTGCAGTAGCAGCGGTTTCATCAACATCAGCGGCTTCAGGATCTCAGCTGCTTGTGGACAACACTGAGTGATCAGATAATCAGTCTGACAGATGTCCAGCGTGACATTAATCATTGATGCGAACACAAAGTCTGTCAGCAGTGACACGACTGCAGCAGCAGCTGGATGTCTCGAGTGAGTGAAAGCGGGAGAGTCTGGAAAACTGATCAGCATCCGGAGCTGATCTGGAAGCAGTTGGCAGCGTTAGGAAGGACGGGAGTCATGGGTGGGCTGGGGAATGAGAGTTAATTCCACATTACAGCAGGCTAAACATCCAAATCCACATTAAGAGTCAACAGCAGATCTTAAAAGAGCTTCCTGGCTGGTGCCCCTTACACATGAACAAGCTATGTTTAGATTTATCCTCTTAGTCCTGCAGTACATTGTCTGTGTTCAGCTGTGTGACCTTTAACCTTTAGCCTGGTTACAGGTCTGCGGCGGGGCAGCGAGGGCCAGCCGGGCCGTTTTAGCCTGGTGTGTCGAGACTCAGCCGGGGAGCAGATGGCTCGAGGAGGAGAGCAGGTCCTCGTCAGCATCGTCCACAAAGAGAAGAAGAACTGGTGAGGGCTCTGCCCGCCTCTGTGGGGGATGCTTTGTTGGTAATGATTATTTGGTATGTATACTTTATAATACCCATTAATGGTTGTGTCCTTCAGCGCTGTGGAGACGGTGGTGGTGGACAACGCTGATGGAACGTACAGCGTTTCATACAAGCCTGAGGAACCAGGACCTTACTCTGTGTGGGTTTGTGTCAAAGCCCAGCATGTGAAGGTACTAAGGGCTGCACCCAAACAAAGGATACAGGTAGACAGGTGCTGGACTCACCTGGAGCTCACAGCTCCCCTCTCCTCCCTGCAGGGTTCTCCGTTCCTGCTGAATGTGAAGAAGAAGTTCAGACACCACGGTGGGACGTTCCACTGCTGCTCCTTCTGCTCCAGTGGAGGAGCCAAAGAGGCAATCTGTGGCTGCGCAGGAACGATGTCAGGTACTGGGGACAAGTCCGCTCACACAGGAAGCTGTCACTGTGTCACACCTGGTCTTTGGTATCTTACCAAGATGTGGAAATGAAAAGTTCTAAACTTTTAGTTTGTAGCAGGCGCTCTATAAACACGAGCTAACGCTCCAACCATTCTATCTCTGTTGGGGTCATCATGAGGGTCTTTGTTGGCCTGATGAATGCGAGATGTTTCATTCACATGGACCAGAGCGTGAGCCCGTCTAGATGTCCTTCCTGTGTCTCTGCAGGAGGGTTTAAAGGCTGTGGTCACGGTCATAAGGGACATCCCGGGAAGCCCCACTGGTCCTGCTGCGGCAGCACCACTGAGAAGTCTGAGTGTTTACCTCCGAGCGTGTTGGCTGCTGTCTCTCCTCGTGGACATCTGCGCACCGTGGAGCTGTGAGGGACCCAGAGATGAGAACACAGATCCATCTATATTCTTGTCGTTGTTATAAACAACATTACAATGGAACAAATGCAGAGCTCTCAGTCAAAAACGGTCTGTTCTCTGGTGTTCACATGTCTGTGGACAATTATTTCACCTAAATGAAAATGTGAAATCATTCTTTACTTGTTTCCATCATATAGAGGATTTTTTAATAAATGACATCTAAAAAAAAACACTATTAAATACAGCCATGATGTGTTGAGCTCCACTGTATCCCCTCTGTGGGCAGATCATGGCTCAGAAGAACAACACATCTCCTGGTAGACCATGCTGACTAACACTAACCCAGCTGAATGTTGCCGACCACAGTCTCCTCCAGTAACTGTAACAGCCCAAACCACTACACCACCTCCACCTTGGGTCTAATCCTAACCCTGGCTCTAACGAGGTTACCCTAACCCAAACCACTACACCACCTCCACCTTGGGTCTAATCCTAACCCTGGCCCTAACAGGGTTACCCTAACCGAAACCACTACAACACCTCCACCTTGCTTTTGTTGTGGCTCTAATCCTAAAGGTTGGTTTATGCTTGACGCGTCCGTGAGGTCCGCACGGCTCCGCGCGGAAAAGTTGCGTCATTTTAACAACCACGCCCCTCCACCGCACCTCCGCACGGCCCAAAATTTCCGCAGCGCGCACCTAGGAAATTTTCTAACCACGCGGACGGTCGGACGCGGAAAAGCATGGCGGACCGGCAAGAACTAGTATGGCAGAGGTTCATAAATACAGACATTTGTGTGATTCAGCTCTCAGAGATCACCGCGATCAACATGTTGTTAATAATTCTTGGTGAGAAATAGCTCGCACTGTCAGAAAAGACAAGGACCCTGTTAAAAATGCTGGAATGCCATGTTGTAAACAACAGTAATTTTTACTTCTACTATGGTGTAGTGTTGGATGCATGTCGTAGAGCTCCATGCTGCCCCCTACAGTTTGGGAGAATATCGGCTCACCGCAGAGACAAGCCGCTTGAACCATAAACGCTGCAAGTTGTGAAGCGCGTTCCATCCGCGAGCCGCATCACCAAGCGGAAAGTAAATGCGTCAACCATAAACCAAGCTTAACCCTGGCTCAAACAGGGTTACCCTAACCCAAACCACTACACCACCTCCACCTTGCTAGTGTCTTGCCTCTAACAGGGTTTCTACACCAAAGAGGTTCCTGTGCTTGTCCTTAAAAAATAGTCTTGTGACCCATAATATCTGTCAGACAGATTAGACATACACGACTATTGTAAGAAAACCACCCATTTGTAGCTTTTCCCTCCCCCGCCCCCAAATTCCAGGATTTTAGGTAAGAACATATACAATTCTTGAAAGCAGAAAAACTGAATTTATTGGAGGAAAGAAGCTCTGAGTGTCTCTAAATGAGCTGCTGATCTGAGTAAAAGTGAAACCAACTCAGAGATTTTAGACTTGGAGCTCATGTTTTCCTCAGCTGTTCTCTTGGAACCAGCAGATGGTGCTGGGAGAACAGCCAGAGCTCTTGGTAATGGGAACACGAAGAACTGGTTCACTACTGGAACTGGAAAAAGTGGACCATCCATCCATTCCCAGTTGCTTAACCTTTTTTTCCTTTCAGGTTTTTATGCCATTAATTTGTGTTTTTTCAAGTAGTGCAGAATCACAAAGGTGGATCTGCACCAGAGTCAGCCCCGCCCATTCACGCAAACTCAGCCCAGCCCACTGACTTCTTCTGTTTGTTTTTTTTTTTTGTTTGTTTTGTTTTTTTACTTTATTGCAAACTAACCTGACCTACATGAACTACGGCTGTTACTAGTTTACAGTTGTTAATACTAAATTCCAATTAAGCAAGATAAGTATAATTTGCTACATGAAATGAAAGGTTCTTTTCAGCAAATTTCTGCCCACGGCCGCTCCGACAAAATGCGCCTAAACCAGGGTTTTAGGCTAACCGATTATTGTATGAGCTCTGGTAGTCCAGTGGTGTAACGGTCTGACTTATGCTTCGTTTTGCCCTCTGCTGACGCTGGTTTGACTCTCACTGGGGTCGGCAGTAATGTATTTAGCCAACTGAAACAGATTTAATTTATTAATATTTTAGTTTTATTGATTATTTTCTACAAAATATTTTATGTCTCTAAAAAGGTATTTGAATTTGGTTGTTTCTAAGCAGCATTTTAGTTTAAACTCTGGACCCACACTGGCTAAATAAACAAAGAAGGTAAAAACAAACTGATTAGTTGTTATATTTTAAACCGTTTACCAATAAAGGGTTGAAAACACAATATTGGCAAGAGTAGCTAGGAAAAAAAAAGTTGATGCCACGACCGGGAGGAGAACCTGCACAAAACTACACACCAGTCTGACACCATAGTCACCCCACCACTACATCTGTTACAGTATGGTTGGTGCCACGTATCCTATCTAGTGTGTCTTTGTAGACGGATGGATGGTTTTTCTGGCGGTGTCCCAGTAGAAGTCATTTCAGAAGTCATTTTTCAGAAAATCCACAGAATATCCAGATCTGAGAACCAAGACCAGACCTGCTTCAGGGGGAGAAGAAATGCACAGTAGTGGCTTACTTTCTTCCATTTGCAGGAAAAATCTTTACATTCAATTCAGTTCAGAAATACTTTATTAATCCCAGAGGGAAATTGATTGCTGTAGTAGCTCTGAATAATAATAATAATCAAGTCATCCAAGAGTTATTGTATATTACAATGGCTGTTGGCAGGAAGGATCTCCAGTAGCGGTCAGTGTTGCAGCCAAACTGAAGAAGCCTCTGACTGAAGGCACTCTTCCGTTGTCGGACAGTCTTGTGAAGAGAATGCTCAGGCTGATTTAAATCAGAATAAAATACAAACTTTAGGCTTCAGTTAAGCTGCGTGTTTGCGTGTATCTGATGTCGGCAACAGCCGGGAAACGTTTGTGTTTTCTGAAAATAAAATGTTGCTTTTATGTGAGATCAGCTGATGCTGTTTTAACCTCCAACCCTCTCCAAAGCTGCTCTGACTTCTCCAGAGGTTTTGACCCACCCACCCACTCCTTGTTGCAACATGAAAAATAAAGTTTTCACTCTCAGTCCTGCCTCGTGTGATCATTTAAAAATCATTATTCATGTTATTAAAGCATCTCAGATGAACACATGAAGACCCGCTCTGCAACCCTCCTCTTCCTCACATGCTGCAGTTTCTGTAGCACCTGTATTTTTGGGCTCCCATGTTCACTTCTTCATTATTGTCATTTTTTAACTAATTCTTAAACTTTTTCCTCCATTTTTGATTCTGGTCTTTTTAAGTAATTATTCAGTTTGTTCTGAAGTGGAATTACTCAGACTTTGATTTCCCGAGGGGGTCATGGAAAATCAGTCTGTTTCTTTGGGAGCAAAAGTGTTCCTGAGCAGACTTTTCCTGCGTCATTCTCTAGAAAGAAGAGATCATGATAAGACAAACCTGCTGGCTGTAGTATCATTAACACTTGCCCTGGCCAGCAGATGGCATCAGATAGTTTAAAATGACCCTGTCATGACCATTTAAATGTCTCCTGTTATGTTTTTATTAATGCATATCTTCCATGAGTAGCAGTGACATTTGATTGGAAGCTGTCCCAGAAGGACGCTCCAGCTGTCAGGAGCATCTCTGCTGGATCCAACAGGAAGCTCCAGCAGATTGGATCTGAGTGACTTCCTGATTACCGGGTAAAAGTCTGGGGAGGAGAGGTTAAAGAGCTGAGATTAGAGGTCTCACACACACACACAGGTGTGGGTTGTAGATGACGGAGTGGCTTTAGGTGTGTGTTTCTGATTTCTGGCTCTGGTGTTAGTCTAAAGTCCACACTGAGTCTTTGCCAGAACCCATAAACTCCTTGGCCCTCCGTCGAGCTCTCAGGTAATGTTGCTTGTAATTGGGAGAGCCGATGATCATGATGCAGCGTTTTCTCCCAGCTGGGACACACCTTTTCTCGTGTTGAACATTTGACCCACTGAGCTTTTCATGCTGTCATCATCCGCCTGCTGAGAGTCGGTGGAGCCTGGATCCTGCCTCGGCCTTCAGGTGGTCTAAAAGACTTGAAGGTGGGAATTAAAACCATCACATCAAAAGTTGACATCAAGAGAAGTAAATGATCCCTGGGCTGCTTCATTTTTGAAGCTTTAAAAATAACTAGGACCTGTTTTATTATTGGATCTGCAGCGTGGGAGATGCCTTCAGTTTTTATTCAGCCCCTGAATCACCTGAGACTCCTGCGGCTTCGTGAGAATCACTCCCTTGAAGGCATATTTGTTCATTTTTAAGGGTTTCGGGGTTTAAGATGATGCAATTTTACCTTTTGTAGACAGCTTCCTGAACAGCCTCTGTTTAGAGAAATAGCGTTGACACCAGAACTTCCAGAATTCCAACTTCACTAGAATTTCCAGTAACCGTCAGTTTGACGGCAGCCATTTTGGCCATTAAATGCAGGCTGGTGATGACAGGAACAAAACGGTTCAAGTGTATTATTAATTAACTCTTTATGGATGTGTGAACCTAATAATGAGGTATGGAAATATCCTTTTAATCCAAACCTTGAAAAGAAGTCTCCGTTGTTTGCTGGGCGACCGACATGGATCATTTTCGTCTGACGGCTTGTGGGAAACAAAGACAAAAACAACCGTGTTTTTGGACACATTATTTTATGGAAATTCTAACCCAAATAAAGAACAAACAGAAATAGGAAAAGCCCGGAGATCCATCTGACTAAAGTTATTACATCCAAATATGAAAACAGTCAAAACGACAGAGTTCTAGTGTTAAAGCTGCAATGACCAATTAGCCTAAAAATGGTTTTCATGCCTCCTAACGTTCTACATGAATGAATATGTTTATTTAAGTGTCATGCACAACACGTGCCCAGACCAGACAGGCTCATAAGACACTTTTAAACATAAAGAAGTGGCCGTACATTTACACAACCTTTATTTTACATCAGGGGTGGAGTAAGGGAGGCACTTATGGGGCTTAAGCCCAAGCTGTTTTTGCAGAAGCCCTGTGTCTTTTGTGATGCATGGCCATCTTGTTTTCCATCAGTTCCAGTTCTGAAGTCCTGCTTTTGAACCAATACCATTTCAGTCCTGGTGTTTGATGTTTTCTTTTCATTCATGATGGTTTGCCTTAACAGTCCTATTACGGATCAGCACCTCCAAATCTGAGGCCATGGTCCTCGACCGGAAAAGGGTGGCTTGCCAACTCCGGGTCGGGAGAGAGGTCCTACCTCAAGTGGAGGAGTTTAAGTATCTCGGGGTCTTGTTCACGAGTGAGGGTAGGAGGGATCGGGAGATCGACAGGCGGATTGGTTCGGCGTCTGCAGTGATGCGGACGCTGAGCTGATCTGTCGTGGTGAAGAGGGAGCTGAGCCAGAAAGCCAGGCTCTCGATTTACCGGTCGATCTACGTCCCAATCCTCACCTATGGTCATGAGCTTTGGGTAATGACCGAAAGAACGAGACCGCGGATACAAGCGGCCGAAATAAGTTTCCTCCGTAGGGTGGCCGGGCTCAGCCTTAGAGATAGGGTGAGGAGCTCGGACATTCGGGAGGGACTCGGAGTAGAACCGCTGCTCCTCCACATCGAAAGGAGTCAGTTGAGGTGGTTTGGGCATCTGGTCAGGATGCCTCCTGGACGCCTCCCTGGGGAGGTGTTTCGGGCATGTCCTGCCGGCAGGAGGCCCCCGGGTCGACCCAGGACACGGTGGAGAGGTTGCATCTCCAATTTGGTCCGGGAACGCCTTGAAGTCCTGCCGGAGGAGCTGGTGGAGGTGAACAGGGAGAGGACGGTCTGGAGCTCCCTAGTTGGGATGCTGCCCCCACGACCTGGACCCGGATAAGCGGAGGAAGACGACGACGAGTCCTATTGCATTCACATTAGCCACTGGATAATAGCCAGCGTCAGGGCTAAGCCCCGGGTGAATGGAATATCTGGCTCCTCCTCTGTTTTCCATAGCAGGATAAAGTACCATTTGTCTGTTTCCACGCTCTCTATAAATTTTGCTAATGTTAAAATTTCTTGGTCAAAAAGCCAACTTAACATTTCACCATCTGCAGAACAAATGAGGATTTTTACTCTGGATCTTTTCCAACAGGGACATTCTTAGATCGTTATGTGATGGACTATAAAACAAGAAATGAAATTGAACTAAGTCACATAAAACACACTGACGTCGCACCTCCGCTAACCCTTGGTGTCGCCCCACTTCAATAGAAAGAGGCTGGTGTCACGGAGTGTGCAGGTGAGTGCAGCGGAGGTGAGGATCCAAAATGCGGGCAAGAAGGCAATTTTAAAGAGTTTATTAATCATGAACACACGGGGCATGCAAACAATAGACAGACAAGGAACACAGAAGTGGGAGGGTTTAACTCTGAATGAACTGCCAAATGAAAACAGGTGCTTCTTTAAATTATTAGATGAAATATTAAAGCTGAGATGGTCCTAAACTAAGCAAACGAGACAAACGATGAGTTCTGAAATCAACAACCTTTCTTCCTCAAATAAATTCAGTTCAGCGACAAAATAAAGTCTCAAAGCCCTGATCTGACGAACTTATCATAACGTACAAAGTAGCAAAGAAGGTGGAAAACAAAGCCGATGCCCACTTCCGGTGTTGCTATGGAAACAGCGTAAACACGTGTCACTACCCGATCCGTACCGGAAATCCGATCGGTACCACGCATGCGTGAATGTTACGTCATTTCCTCTCTTTGCCAACCTTGCGACAGTTACCGACGGCGGAGGGGGGGGCAAGATGGCGGACTAAGCAGTCGCATCCGTCTGAACTCCTCACTGAAGTCCCGATGTTTTAATCTTGAAGTTATAAAATCCACTCCTTTGAGCTATATTGACGACGTTTCAGCCCGAACATGAAGAAAACCAACAACACGAAACCTCCGGCAGTGAAAAACCTCCCTTTTACAACCCAGAGAAACAGCAAGCATGACTACCCAGCTCCGATGGAAACGGCTGATTCCAGCAGCAACAAGAGGGACAGACTGTTAACAACCCCTGATAATACTCCTGAGAAACCACATATGGAGAAAAAAGCAAAAGGTACGGCTAGTGATAATGACTCCAACACATCCACTGACACTATACTGAAAGCTATTGAGAGTCTTGGAAAACGTGTTGATGACCGCATGGACGAAGTTAGCAAACAAATTCAACAACATAGCGCCATGCTGGCTTCCATCGCTAAATCAGTGCAGTTTAATTCAGAGGAGCTGCAAGAATGCAAAAAGAAAATAAAACACCTGGAAAAAGAGATGGAATCAATCAAAAAAGATAATGACGATATTAAGGATCGTGTATTGAGCCAGGAAAGATACAAAAGAAGATGGTGTCTTCGTATCAAAGGGAAAAAGGAGAAAACAAATGAAAATATCAGAGAAGAAGTGGTGGAACTTCTAGGAAGGATTGCTCCGGACCTAAAGATGAAGATGGAAGAAGCAGTTGATGTTGTCCACAGAGTGGGAAGAGCGGTGGAGAATAAGCATCGACAAATCATCATTCTGTTTGTGAGACGTGCCGTGAGAGATGATATCTGGAGGCGAACAAAGGCTTCTCCCGTGTGCAAAGAAGAAGGCATCCGCTTTGCTGAAGACCTGACCCCAGAGGACTGGAGAGCCAGACAAGCGTTGTGGCCAAAAATCGACCAGGCTCGGAAGGAAGGCAAGGCTGCAGGCTTCAGGGGCCCTTTTGGTTTCATAGAAGGCAAACGTATCAGGGTAGAGACTCCAGGTACGGGCTGACATCTGACTACGAAAGGAATATACAGTGGAACATTTCGGATGATGGGACTTTTACCTCAAGATTTTCCTACTCCATCTCCTAAACTTCCTCTTTAAAGCTTTTCATGTGTTCCGTGTTCCAACTAAAAACTAATATTTCTTTTTTTTTCCTTTAACACAAGGGGACTTAAAGACTCAATTAAGCGCAAAGCTGTTTTTCTGTTCTGCAAGGGGCAACAGGCAAATTGTTTTTTTCTCCAGGAAACTCATTCTGAGGAATCTGATGTGAAATTTTGGTCACAACAATGGGGAGATAAAATTTATTTTAG